ATTAGCATCGGTTGGTGTGTCACGACTCCCTGGTTAGGGTCCGAGAGATAGCTCAAATCGATGGCTCGAAACGTTATCGGAAATGACCAAGAGTCGTAATCAATGACGAATGTGTTGCAATTTCCTTCTTTCTTCCCTTCCCGATGATAGTTAACGAATACTGTTTGAAGTTATTTTTTTTTTATTTTTGATTACAGCTTGATTCCACACCGTATTTTTGGTACAAGTATGGAATTTTCAGCATGGATATCGGTAGCCCAAATTTCGCAGGCCGACCATAGATATCAGGTGTGCGTCGGCATGGGCTCGAGCCCCGGACCATATGCATGGTCGGCGAGAGTCCTAACCACTGTGCCACCGACGCACACTGTGACTGTCTTCCTTCCAGATGAAGTTCTTAATCCGTTCTCTACTTATATTTTTTTCTTTTGATCTATATTGCTTTATTATTATTGTATGGCGCGTCCTTCTTGGTGCCATATTGTACCAAGTTTTTTTATGCGTTTAAATAAATAAATAAACTGCCTCCTTGGGGTCCCTGAGATTCTAAGAACCAATGGCTTGATGCATTTTAGTGATATGGCTCCAGATCTTTCGCAATGGCACAGATACCTTCACTCTTTATGGCCTCCCAAATGCATTAAGCCCTACTGTTTTCCCATGTTACTACTCTTTCTCCCTCACATTTCCTTTTTTCTCTTGTTAGCCTTCTTTTGGGCGCTGCATGCAATGTGCTACCTCGAACCGTCGCACTTCTTTGCAAAATTCTACGTTGAAACCAGCCAGTTAATGAGATCAAAATTATTTATTTTAACTGAAGACCTAGTTGCTAAACATTTAACTACGAGGCTAGACATAGGTGGCCATCACAAACTCAACTGCACAATGATTCTTTCATATTATTTTACCAAACTAAAATCTGACTGATCGATCATAATGCAATTAAGCAGGCACACAATGAACCAACCTCATTGTTCAATATTCATCATATCAACTTACATACAGAAAGTGAACTAGTTGTTATTATTTGATTTCATGGCATTTTTATGACGAGAAACAATGAAACTGACTGGCTGACTGACTGCTTTCAACATAGAACTTTGCATAGAAGTGCAGCTATGTAATACACTATACACCATGTAGCACGTACACAAAAGAAGTCAAAAGGGAAGGAAAAAATAGATTCAAAAGCAACGATTAGAAGAGGAAATATGAGAGAGAGAGAGAGAGAAATAATAGTAACATGGATGCAGATTAAGATTCAATGAATACTGCAGATCAAAAAGAGTGAATGCATTTCAATGCGACTGAGAACAACTTTGAGTCATACCAGCACCAATAGTCTCTAGGCATTGGTTCTTAAGATCCTGAAGACGCCAAAGAAGCAGTCTACATCGCTCTACATGGCTCAAACTAACTGTCAAATATTTCATGGATTGATGGTATGTTTTAGTTGGACCACCATTAGTTCTTTTCCTATGTCACCTATCATTGATCGTCGTGGAAGGCGACGGCTAGACATGTGTATAACAAGTGTCCTCGCCGTCTTAATCGATCTACTTTCACAATCCTATAGGTTGAGTTTCCCTAATAATCTAACACTCGATGATTAATTTCAATATTACTCAGCCTATTATACCACTTAACGCAGGAGATAGAACGCAGACATCCATAATCAAAGACTGTTAGCCTTTTCAAAGCATTGAGGTTTATAATGTTTATGACGAGTTAGTCTTCGAAAAACTATATGACTGACTTCCATATGAAGTTGATGTGAAGGTGACAGCATTCAACATGACACTGGAAAATGCTTATCAATCAATATATGTTTAAAACTTGGGCACCGTGATAGTAAGTAATTCCATATTAGTTTGTTTACTGGATATATCACACAGAGTGAAACAGTATTATTTACTGGATGACGACGTTTTGAACAAAACTTATTGTTCATAATCATATCATTTATAACCATAAAACTTAAAAAATTGAGTTTTATAGTTTTCTTTATTCTTTCCTATTCGTCGTCGTAGGGGGGGGGTAGTAGATTTTTCCAGACATCTGGCTGGACAGGTGTTCAATCATTCCTAGTACACGTGTTTGCAGTTGATTCGATAAACAAAGCTTCCGTTATCGATGTAACAGGGTGGAGGGAGAGATTGACAACAGAAACTTTGTTTATCGAATCAACTGTAAACACATGTAATAGGAATGATTCAACACCAGTCCCAGATATCTGGAAAATTCTACTACTCCTACGACGACAAATAGGGAAGACAAAGAAAACTACAAAACTTAAGTTTCGAAGTTGTGTGATTATAATTGATGGCATGATTATGAACAATAAATTTTGTTCAAAACGTCGTCATCCAGTAAGTCATACTGTTTCCCTCACTGTTTGACATATCTCATAAATAAACTAATATGGAACGACTTATCAACCAAAACATTATTTCAGAGAAAATAAGTAATTCAGGTGCAATATGCATAACACCAAGATAAACAGATTGTGTAAACTTTCACCGCCAAAAGTGAGTTGATAGATCTCAAAAAAAAGGGGGGAATACTAGCCAACCATGGTCCAGATTCGACTCCCAAAACAGAAAAGACACTCCTAAAACTTACCCAGTTTACTACCTTACAGTAAGTAAGCCCAGGAAAATATCAAAGGTTGAGGGGCAAGAGGCTAGAAACCCAACCCACCCTGTCGTACGAAAAAGTACAACACCACCGCTACTGAAACTCCAAGATGCTTAAAGTGCTATGTTCCACTAGAAACAGCAAAGAACCAAGAAGCATCGACAACAGATGGATATAACGGGTCAACATCAATACAATGAGTAAGGACAAAATAATAATAATAATACTAAGACAAGCGTGAAGATAAGTACAGTATGCTAACAGAATAACCCAATAGACACTAATCATTGCTTCCTTAAAATTAATCGATTGTATTTGCAAACCACTGCATAGACATAAACAAATAGACAGACAATAATAGTAAGGTATATCTTCCTTGCAAAAAATAAAAAACGGTCAAAGTTGCTATCCCACTTATATCTACAGGCATATATTATTAGTCAAACAGGAATAAAACGACATAGGTAAAAAGAAAAACAGAGGTGGAAATAATAATAATATCAATAATTAGAAACAAACACACTAGGGAATAAATGCATCTGTGATTAACTAAAATCGACTGACTCTCAAGCCTAAATCACTCAACAACAATAAGAGAGCTAGATTATGGGATTTGTGGAGGATGATTTGGATTGATTTGATTTCATTTGTTACATTATGTCACGAACCAACATCAGTTACTAAAGAGATCATTGAGAAACCAGAGAGCATCGGGCAGATGTTTTGTCTCAGTTTGCAACTCTTCAACAGTGCACACCCACAATTCCAAAAGGGATCGACCCGAAGAATTCCAGGTTATCAGACCATTCAGTCACTGAGACCGGAATTGCATAACCTATGAACTCTATCTTTGTCAACTCATGATACAGCGCTACTCTCAACCTATGCCTACGATGAGTATCTACTTCCCTTTGACATGGTGGACCCTAATGGCCACGACTTCTGAATACAGCTTCAGGGCATCTATCCACTAACCATCAATGAGCTACATATACGTGCGGTTAAACATGGAGTAGATTGACATCAGTGGAATGTGAAAGAACCTTAGTTTTTAAAACTGCACATAACGTGATATGATGCCTCACTTCCATGGAAGTATGGTCAGTTATGTTGAGGTTAGGCATACAGCATTGAATAAGGGGTAGGGGAATTCACCGATACGTTTGTGAAGTCACATAAACTGAAGTGATTAGAACATATGTTACTCATATCATACCGCAGTCCTCCCTATTTGAGCAATGTAAGCTGACATAGGATGGTGTAGGGAAAGGGTTACAAATGGTCAACCCCAAATGTGGCACCCATCTGGGGAGTCTTTGACTGTTTGTTTTAGCCACGTGAAGATGTACAGACTGCCCAGTTGAGGTCTTTAAGATAACAAGAGTCAGTAGTTGGGGACTTCTAGTGACACGACGTAGATGCATTCATTCCTTGTGAAATTCCATGTGGTTATTATTTCGCCCGTACGCCTCCGCATACCCCAGTTACTTTCCATCTCACTTCTCAATTTCTAATTTTGCATTTATGAAGTATCACAGTTTAAACCGATGTACTTTTGTGCAAAGTTCTACGTCCATAACACAGTTCAAATCACAGATATGTAAACCTTTACAAATCTAAACGACTCTTGATGGAAGCTTTGAAATTAGAAGTAGCGGGAATACATTAAGGCAGTGTTATTTCTCATGATATAACTGTAAATTGCACCACATGAGAATCATAAACAGTTAAAATCAGTTCTAGCTGATATGAATAATGAGATATCGTCTTCAATCAATAATAGTAAGCGCCCTCTTTCCAGGACAGGCTTTTATACCTCAATGACTGACTGAATTTCAAGGCAGAACTTTGCACAGAAGTGAACCAGCTCAAGCTGCAAAGAAAACAAAATTCAAAAGAGCTACGGTGAACATAAATGTACAGGAGAAATGATAAGTATATGGAGAAAATGAGGATTTAATGGATCTGGGACATTACAAAGAGTGAGTGAATCTGTGACACTGTGAACAATTCTGACTCATACCACCGACAATCTCTCACTATTGGTTTCTAGAGTTCCGAAGACTGCAGTCAGACAGTTTAAACCCTCATACATGGCTCACACCAACAATCGCAGACTTTATGGTTCAACCCCAGTTTTTAATTTGACCACTCCTAACTATTTTCTAAACATAATCTCATGTCAACCAACAGTGCTCAACAACTTCGTGTGAGTGCCATTGATATGATTATGAGTAATACATCGTGCTCAAAATGTCATCAATAATTCATACTGCATAACACTGCGACTTTACCAAATAAATTTACTCCATGATCGAAAAAATGACAATAATAACAGTATTCATAAAAAGAGTAACAATTACCTCGATACTTTGTAACCATACGTAACCAAGATCCAGGATCTATTTGCATAACTGAATAAGGCACAAAAATCACATGTAGTCCATTGAAGACGCTCTGGAATAGACAAAATATATTCATATTTAGACAAGAAAACAATATACAGGATGTCATATTAACCATAAATTACACAATATAGACATAAAAGCCACACAAGAAAGGTAACCACAATTGACTATTGAAATTCATCCTTTTTTAACAATTAATTCAATCTTGAATTTTTTTAACCAACTAAGTAAAAGATGAGACAGTTATCCTCACCACAAAAATTATAACAATGACGTTCAAGTGTCACTAATGCATCATAAGTGCTCAACGAGATAGACTATTCGGACTAGTTAGGTAGTGTTACTGTGGTGAGGGCTGTCTGCTAGCCAAAATTGTAGACAATAATTTACGTCAATGTTTACGTCCCGAATCAGGATCATGAGAAAAAAAAAGTAACAAGGCTTAACCTAGAGGAGATCAACAACCAATCACGACAGACTTAACGTGTGCGAATACGATTTGCAGACACATGGCTTAAATTTCTAAGAAACGGCCGAAAGCAGTACAGAATAACCTTCAGCAGGAAAATAACCAGTCGGAAGACGCTGCTTCTCCGCTAACAACGCTGATAATAATGTACATAAAAATCTATAAATATCTCAAGGTTTTCTCAACAAACGATCTGTTGCCTGGCCCTTATCTTTTGTCGTTACATTACGAGTAAAGATTTACACACTGGGGGGGGGTCCAGGGTTTCCTGTCGAGTGCCTTCAACTATCTAACTTAAACACTAACACTATGATGGAGGCTAGGGTGTGAAGATGTATTGCTTTACCTGGTAGAGGCATGATGGATTTCGCCTCATTTGGACGATAACCAATTAAGCTAAGCTGAACCATTAACAAGTCCGGTCCAAAAACTGACGTACATAGACTTGACTTACGATCTCCTGCTGTCAGTTATCAGGTGCATAAAGTATGAACCAAAAAAACAAAAAGCTCTAACACGCTTACACTTTTGATGTAGGACCCAGAGACTTTCCTTAAAAAAGGCCTATTACTAAGATGTTGACTTAATTTCATTTAGGGAATTTACTACAGATGCGATTGTGTAGTGCAAACCACGTGAACGTCGCTAACAGAATGCAGTCTGCCACTTTCCTACTGACGATTGTATCACCAGTATCACAAATCGTAAAGCAAGCTAACCACGCCAACTGCTTCCCAGTGATATTGTCAACAGTAACCACGAGAACAATATAACTATGCAAACCAATGGGGTCTATGCGTCACAGTTACACTCTACAGTTGTCAAAATGATCATACGGTCACATGGAAGTGATACAAAATGAGATTTTTTTACACGGCTATCATTCCAGTGTAATAATGCATAATACTTGATGATATTAGAAGTTAGTCGGTAAGGTTTATTGAATTCAATTTTATTGGTGTTATTCATCTTCTCCAATTATAAGAAATAATCTATGTAGGAGTGCTAGTATTTTGCAGAAAATTGTTCACACTAATTCATCTCATCATTACATTGATAATGATGTCTAGCACGATTTGGAAACATTTACCCGAACGTGAAGAAAAAAGTATTCGGAATATTATTGTACTTATACTATTTCATTATTCATTAGTGGGAAATCGCTTATCAGATGACATCTATTTACTGGGTTTTAAATAGTTCCAATTGTTTGGGAATTGTATTTTAACATTTTCATTGTTACTCAGTAATTTGATCAAGAGAATATATACATATATCGGGATACAAATATTAGACAATGATCAGAAGATTAAGTCCACCCATGTGAACAAAGGCGTCGCATCACTCGCTTAACACATCCGATGAAGAGATTGCCACTTATACTTATAGTTAGACAGTTATATTAGAAATAATCTATTACTGACAGAGGAGATTTACAGCTAAGGTGAGTGATATCGGTGTATTTCCCTAGAACACGTGTTAAGCACACCAAGCCACCACCTTCACACATTGAGCAACGTTAGCTGATATAGGATTAGATTAGAGAAGAGCTAAGGGTAGTCAAATCAAGATCTGATATCAGTGTAGAGAGAATTTAGATGTAGGTTTGAGTCACGTAGGGGGGGGGGGTGTAGACTGCCTGGTTAGGATCATCGAGATAATAAAAACCAGTGGTTAGAAACTATTGGTGACACAGCTCAAAACTGTTCTAAATGAAGCAGATGCGTCCACTGTTTGTAATCTCCATATCGATCAAGACCATATTAATATTCTTTATCCTTTACATTCCTGTCTATTATACTACTTTTGAATTTCTTTCTTCTCCACATTTGCATGATACATAGGGTGTGTCAATTCTGTGTAAAGTTCCATGTTGGAATTCAGTCAGTTAGCAGTGTTCATTGTGCTGGACGGTTTAATTGCGAGGCTTCCATTGTCATTTTAGATCACATTTTCTGCACTAAATTGAATATGAAGTGAGATTTTAGAAATCCCCATAAGTGTAATAACTGTCTCCACTGATACCTTTGAACACGAGTAGTTTGTCCGTGGAGGTTGTCTTATCCCCTTTTTCAATTTTTATCGGTATCCATCATCATGCTGACCAGATGTATAACCTTTTGACTCTTCACTTCTTGACAAGTCTGACCTATTCTAATGAGTTTGTTGATTCCAAATTTATCTGAGTACCAAGCATCTAGCAGTTCTCTGGCATTCTTGGTACTGTTTATGCCAACGATTAGTAAAACTCGCGGTGTCTTAGTACTTCACAATTGAAACATCCAGCTTAGAGAACAAAACTACGCAGAATTCCCGTCTACTCACTAGCCCTAACACACAATTACTATATAATTAAAGTCATATACTACTATTAATCAATATATATATACCAAAATAGAGTAAATAGACATTAATTACCGTTAAAACAGCATGCCATAGACCTGTTTGTCGACGACAGTCTACAACGCAAACAACAACATCCTCTTCAGAGTAATTACAGGCGACAGTTAGTGCACGACAATGTGAAAGAGCTGCACGTCGACTTATCATAACACCATGTACACTTCCATCTTTACTAAATGTATACTGTAGAACATAAAAGAAAGAGAGAGAGAGGGCAAAATCAAAAACAACAGTTTAATACATCTGATGACAGAAAATACAATCAACAACAAAAAGGAGTGGCAAAGTTAAACAATACCAAAAACTGAAAAAAGATAACACTTCTTTAAACCTGAATAACTATCATGAACAAGCCAGGCTCAATAGAGAAGCTGCAGTTAATTCGTTTGGGTGTACAGCAACACAACACAAGGATATTCGGTAGTAGAATTATTTGTTTTGACAAAGAAACTTGCAGTGATTGCAAAAAATAAATCACTACACTGAAACTTTATTTGAACAAAGTATTCGTGTATTCTTACTCAATTCAATTCAGACTTCCCCGTTGATTGATGATTGGACCGAAGTACTCGGCCTATATTGACATATCGACTCCTTGTACAGACGCCTCAACGATGTCTGAGGATTTAACCTGAAGAAATATGGTGGATGGTGACTAGCAGTGGAATCCAGGATGCACATTTCGTCCTATTTAAGACTCATCAGCTAGGTGTACCTACATTCCTTAGTGAGTGATATTCGTGTATTCTGCTTCACCACCTACTTTCATTCCATGCTCTCTCTATATTACTTCAAAATTATCATCCCTTCTCCTCTTTACAACCAATGAATCCATTGCTTGGCTTGTTATTTTATTATTATCCCACATCGGTTCTGAGTAAAAACGCAGAACTTTTAGAGCATATGTTCATTTCATCCTGTTCTCTGTAACCATTTTTAGCTGACTCCACGACTACCCGCAAGTTTTCGTCTCCGTCTTACACGATTGCCTCCACGTCATCCTCCAACAAACGCCGAACTCTTCCTTTCCTATTCGGGCTCCACTCGAAGGCCTGTCTAAAACGTGTGGTGTTACTCAGCGACATTAATCTACACTTTCCTCTGGCATATTTGTAGAGCAATATGTTCTTATTTGGTTTTTTTGCCAGAAGCCATTGCTGCTAATCCTTTTAGACGGCCAACTGATTTTTACTAAGGATCGAAGGTGGATTCGCTCCACTCTATTCAAGATTCTTGCAAGAGTAAACAGTATACACACTGAATTAAAACTCTTGTCAGTAGCATACCCCATATGGATAGCAACTCGACTTACAACGAAGGATCATGCCATTAAACTCTATGCTTCTTAATTGTCCATATTCATTATCTTTTGATTTGTATACGATAACATCAGTCTGGAAATGAACCCGGACTAGGTGTGTGTGTGTGTGTGTGTGTGTGTGTGTGGCTGGTGAGCATTCTACAATGGAATCAAAAACGATATTTCATCCCAATATCTGAGAAAAGTTCTTGAAAAGTGCCTTTTCCATTTGTTGCATCCAAGAACAATAGAATAATGGAGAAGATGTGTAGCTCAGGTAGATGATATTTGATTAGTTGTGTTCTCCGAGCTTTCGTCATCCCCCACCTAGACAACATCTTCAGCACAGGTTTCAGTATAATAAATGAACCTATTCGCGTTCTCCATGATTGATGATGTCATTGTATCTCCTAGCAACACCACACTGCCATGACTGGATTTGTAATTTACTTCTCTATTGTCCAGTCCAGAGAATACAACTAATTCAACAGAATAACAGAATTCTACATTAAGAAAACAAAGCGATATTTTAAGACAGATTTTGTTTCAGACGTCTAACTCTCCTGTACATATATACACACACACATACAAATAAATGAATCCTTTCAGTCTGTTCACATTGTATGAATCATACATACAACTGTCATAATTTACTTTCTTGTTATTATGTCATATTCGTTTAATATAGACAAACAATTGACACACACGCACCACGCATACATACTGAAAGATATATGTAAATATAAGATAGAAAAGTCCGGCTTAAATATATAATATCATCTGCATGTAGGAAATATAACAATATATATACGAGCTGAAAGAAAGACAAACAGATAGATGAAACTGTTCAAATTTCTTATGATATACCACACAATGAAAGGCTAAAAATTAACAACAAAAAATGATAAAAGTAAAGAAATATATGTGGAGACTAAAAGCCCATGTAGGCGAAATAGCCAACGCTTTATAATTAGCCTCATTGAATCATATAGTAGAAAAATGAAAAATTGTCAGATTATGTCACGAACTAAAAATCAGTTAGAGAGATCATTCACTGTACACTAAGGAGCAATACGCAGTTGTTTCGTCCTTGTTTCGGGGTCTTCATCAGTTCACACCCACCAGAGATAGAACCCGAGACGTTTGTTTAGGTTATGAAACCAAGTTCCTTGACTATTCAGCCAATTGGATAGGAATTTAATGACGCTTGGATTTAAAACTTAGTCAATTTGCGATATACAGCTGCCCACAACCAATGCCTCCTAAGAGCATCCAATACACGTTTAAACATGGTGGACTTTAATGGTCACGTCTTCCTACTGCAGCTTCAAGACATCTGGCCATCTATCTAGCCATCAATGGGCTGGTTGGAGATTGTTGATTCATTTCAACTGTTAGATTTCCATCACGAACCACCATCATAGATACGTAGTGCCGAATATTCACAAACTAGGACCCAAACAACTAGCTGTCCAGTGCTCCTCGGTTAATGATGACAATTACTAACTGAATAACATTTACATCAAAAACATTAATTATCCGGAGGTAATATGAGTGTACAAAACAACACGTCTGCATTCAAATATAACTGATTGAATTCTCAATATTCCCAACAATCATCTATTCCGAATTCGAATCGAATAACAAACTCGGTTTCTTGGATATTACAATGACCAGGAGAGACCATGGAACGATTAAGTGATCTATATGTCGTAAACAGGCATGGAGTGAACAATATCTTTACTTCACCAGTTTTGTTCCCCTATTCAGTATAAACGTTCCATAGTGAAATGTTTGTGCTCAAAGGCCCGAAAAATATGCACAAGTGACACATTGATGGATGAACTTCGACATATACATTCAGTTTTATTAGCTAATGGTTATCCGGAAAACTTTATCAGTTTTCACAGTAAGGATAGACCACATCTAGAAAAGACAGCTTCTGCACCAAAGAAAGCTATCTTTATTAACCTACCATTCAAGGGTGACCAGATTGTGCAGTTGACAGCTCAAAGACTTCGGTCAGCCATCAAACGCACATTCTACACTGCATCTCTTTTTCTCACTTGCCAAACATTCTCGATCCCTGTACCTATGATCAAAGGACGCAATTCTGTGGACTCTACTTCAAACTGTACCTACAAGTTCACCTGCAGTTGCAATGACACCTAAATCAGAGGCAATCCGCAGGAAGCCTTGCTTGACCTGGGTTTCGTGCTAATTGCCACTCACCAGTCAGCAACACGTATCTGCAACCCTGAAGGAACTCATGTCTCTTCTAAGATCAGAACCCGCGTCATCCAGTGAGTACTGCACTCACAGACGTTACCACTGAGCGATTCGAGCTCAGGATTGACCTCCTGTAGGACTGTAGTGGGAATTTTGATTAGACACTAGTAACTAGTGTCATGGCTCTAGTCCTTTCTTTGATGCAGACTGAATGCTATCAGTCATCAAACCAATGTGCACCGTGATGGCGAGCTACCTAGAATGGTGGCCACATTGCAAAAACCTGACTGATAGAATTCAGACTGCACCAAAGAAAGGCCTAGACACATCACACTAGTAAGTAGTGTCCAATCAGAATGTTCGAATGTCGTCAAAAAGAACATGTTCCAAAATGGTTATTAAAACATATAGAAAACCCCAATGCAAAAATCAAGAATAATCCATTGCATAAACACTTATTAATGTCAGGTCACAAAATCAGTATTAATGACTGCTTCACAATTATTCCACATAACTCTAGTTCGACGTTATTGAAGGTGGTGTAAGCACTTTGGATGAATCGCATACAGCCTAAACTGTGTGTACAAAAAGCAATAAGCTTCAACCTTCGCCTACTATGGACTACTTGACCTATTTAAATATAATTGGTCATTAGTATGTACTTTCGTTTTATATAACAGAGTAATTGTCATGCATTTTATTTTGTTATTACTGTGAACCATGTTAGTTGTAAAGCAGTTGTAAAGAAACTACGAAATGATAACATCTCGCAAAATTTGCCTTCTAAATGTCTTATTCTAATTTGATTTGTAAGGGTTAGTTTTGTTTTTACGAGTTGATCACGGTTAGATATCAGTTAGAGAACCATTGGAAACCAGCAGGGAGTACTGGACGGCTACCGTTTCACCCTAGTTTTTGGGAATCATCCCCAGTACACACCCCCTCCCAGGGTTCGAACCCAGGACCTTCCAGTTACAAGGCAAGCTGGCTCGTATACCATTTAGCCACTGGAATCTGATTCAATGGCCAGTCCATGAATTCTAACTTCTACCAATTCGTCATTTGGCGCGACCCCAACCAATGTCGTCGGTGGGACATCCATCCTCACACGTGATATCTGAATGGACCTCACTGGTCACGACTTCTCACTAGAACTCTAGGAATCTCCATCCTGTAGCAAGTCACCAGTGAACATCAAAGGGATTAATTGTTTTAATCATCTATAAATAAGATGTCTTATATAGATATTCTGGTATGCTGTTCAATCATGGAATGACCGAGAAAACATCATAGAACTTTGCATATAAAATACATCACTTCAACAAAGCATATTTAGAAGAAGAAAGAAGAAATATAGAGGAACAAAAACACGTTGAACAAAGACATCTGCAAGAGAATATAATTGAATCAATATAAACAAACGCTTTCCTCGGAGTTTTTTAATTAGAAAAGAAATGGAAACTAAAGAACATTGGCCAGCTCTGTTTGAGATTATTCTTTTCAGTAGTGCGCACACATTCTTGCCATAGACCCCGTACGAGGTAAGAACATTTATGTTCGTGACGAAATCGACATTGAAATTCGTCAACAACAAAAAACCAACAAACAACCTACAAAACCCAATATCTAATAAACAAATGATTTCCCAAAACAA